TTTTTTCAGTTTGGGTCAAGTAGAATGTGAGATTAGCCGTGGACAGACAGCTATACACACACACACATGACCGAACACATGATCCCCTCAGCCTTACGCCCAGGCTCTTCTTTAAACATAAACATACTGATAGAGCTGCAACTAACATACATTTTCACAATTGGTTAATCTGTTGATTCTTTTTTATTAATTGTCTATATTAAAATGTCAAAATATGGTGAAAAAGGGCCATTACCACCTCCCAGATCCCACGTGCCTACATGAGCCTGTTTTATTTGAATAAGCAACGTTTTCATGTTATTTAAGAAGCTTGAACCTAAGGACATTTCACCATTTTTTTCACTTTCTTTGCTTGAAATATGACTGAAACAATGAATTTGTTGTCTCACATTATTTTTTATGACCATATTAAATCAATCGACGGACCGTTTCAGCTCTCCATAATCAACATTGGTTTTTTTTCTATGACTTTTTTTGCGTGAATTGCTTATGAACATGATTATGAACCGATGACAGAAATCGTCCGCAGACATGGGTGCACATGATGGATTGTGATGTGATGTGTGCACCGTAGATTCACGCAGCACCAGCACACATTTAAATTCCCGTTACTGGAGTTTTAACACAGCTCTTTTATAAGAGATTTAAAAACCCAGTTTGAGGCAAAGGGAACGTCACATCGATGCTTAACTACATGTTGGGTTTTGTTACGGTCAAAAGACATGGAACAATACAATTAAAGGTAAAACAAAAAAAAGGTTGATTTTGCAATTATTATTGTTTATTATACATAGAGCAGTGGGGTCTGGAATTAAAGCCAATGTTAACAATACAGAATGTGCTCCAACTATTGATCTGTTGAGCAGTTGCTGACATGCAGAAGGTTTCATACCCGAATAATTTAATGACATCCTTATAGTGATCAGATGTTCATATTACACTACAGTAAGGCCATTTCACTCACTAAAGGTACCCTGATGAGATTGGTTTTCTTTGTGGGGCTAAGACACATACATGTCCACGGCTGCCAGCAGGAACAATGGTGACTCACAGAGCCGCTAAAAGAGTCTGCTCTGTGTGGATGCTTCTGCTCTCTGGTGTTGGCTGTTTCATTCTTTTATACCAGCAGCCCCGTCACTCAAATAGAGAATTCCTCCGGTTTCACATCATCACCCACAGACTGAGACTAAAGTATCAATTTTTACATGGACCTGCAAGTATCATAGCAGTATTGCAGATTAAAAAAAACATATCATAAAGCATGATACAGCATCAATTCAGCCACTGGAATGGTTCTGTTTCTGCTGATGTTAAGTAAATACCAGGAGAGAGTTTTTCCCCTTCTTCTGCACCGTACAGTAAACCTGTTGTACTGTAAGTCAGCATCACTGAATCAACACCGCGCGCTACCCCTTGGCCGCATCAGAACGCAGGACTCTTGGCGCACCAGACACGCTGATGTAGCCCACAGCGCACGGATACCACATCCAGACCCAGGGGCGTTGATTAAGTGAAACGAATGTTGTTGGCAAAGAGCAGAACATCAGATCTGTTCATTTAACATAATGGGTATGGAAAATCTCCCTGCGGAACCCCCGCTGGCATGGAGAAGACTCCTTTATTGCGTGATGAATTGTTGAACGGGTCTCCAGGCGCGCACAGATTAGAGAGGACACCGGTTTTTAAGGGCTCCCAAGAGACGGTTCATTTCCAGATTATGGACTCCAAATTGATTTCCCCATTATAGCTCGGTCTCAGCTCTCGATCCAGATGGTGGCAATCTCTAGGTGGATCTCTATAGCCTGTAAAACGCCCGTGCACTTTGCCAAACCTCACGGCCGCCCATGCGCCGATTCCCGTTTCCAAGCCACGTTTCCGGAGACAAAAAAATCTCCATGCCACTTGTCAGCTGAGGGGAGGGGGAAGCGAGCGAACAGCGCCCGGTCGCTTGCTTCCAATTCCCCCCAAACGCACGCCTCCACCGCGGAGAAAGAACCGCTCAACAAAAGCGCAACAAGACGATCAATCCGGACTAATTGCGCCACATGAACGATGGATTTCAAAACGGCGTGCTCCGGCCGGATGATTTACGCGCTCACGCGTGTATCAATTATTCATCCTCTGCGTTACTGTACAGCCCTGACAAATCGATATGTCAACATGCCAGGAGACTGTCAGACACATTGCCATACATCACACATATACATCACACACACAAAACACACGCACGTACAGCCAGAGAGAAGAGAGGAGGGAGATCCTACCTGGTTGGAACATACTTTGGAAATAAAAGATGACCAGAATAAAGGATCCCAAACAAGTGGCGAATACCATCCGGCATATCCGGCTCATCCTCATCAGTTCGGTCAGAGTCTGTTTCATGACGAGGCGGAGAGGCGGCTGGGCGCTGCTCGCTTTGTGTGTGGGGGGGGGAATGAAGGGCCGTGTCTGTCGGAGGCTCCGGGGCTCTCTGTCTGGTGGTACTGATGAGGATTGTCCGCCGGTCAATGAGCTGAACGCATCCAACGCGGAGCGTACCACTGCTGCGCTGCTGGAGGGGGGAGCGAGCGGCAGGGACACGAGGAAATGGGCGCGTCCAGATGTGCGTTTATAGAAGGAGCGTCACATCAAAATCCTGCTGTTTAACCATTCTAGTTAATATTGTTTGAATGAATACATTCATGTTTTTACACACATATTGTAGAAGAGGTCACCATGAATAATAAACGAGTACAAGTGCAACAAGTGAAGTACAAGCGCCTCAAAAATGTACTTGAGTACAGTATACTTGTTTAGTTACTTCCCACCACCCCTTGAGTATTTCTATTTTATGCTACTTTATCTACTTTACTACATTCCTGATGGATGTATTTACATGTTAAGTCCACTGGTGTTGTCAGTGAGTCACAGTTACTATTTGCAGACATTTGCAGACTACTTGTACAATGACATGACGAGCATTATATAAAATAATATAAATATGAAAAAAGCCAAAACAACCACAAAGAGACACAAAACGACAACAAAGAGACTCACAATGACTATAAAAATACACAAAATTACCATAAAGAGACACAGAACAACTACACAGACACAAAAAACAACTACAAAGTGATTAAAAAGAAACAACAAAGAGACACCAAACAACTACAAAGAGACTCAACCTGACTACGAGGTGACACAAAACAGCTACATAGGGACTTAAAACGACCACAAAGAGACACAAAACGACCACAATAACGGCAAAACAACCACAAACAAAAAATAATGACAAAGAGACCAAAACAATTACAAAGTGGCCCAAAATAACCAAAAAGAAACACAAAAACTCACTGAGAGATGCGTAACGACTACAAAGAGACACAACAACAACAAAAGAGGTGAAACAACTAAAATCTGTGTGCTCCTAGGAGCTAGACTGTACTAGTTAGAGTAAATACTAACTGTAACAAAAGTAGTCCGTGTAGAGTAATTTGAGTATCTGTAACCATCTGTTGGTGATAGTAAGTTACAGTAGTTGCAACAATACCAGTGGTTGCAGACAGTAGTACCTGCAGTGGAGCTTTCTGTTGTGAAGTAGCAGAAGTTTTATTGGTGGAGCTCACAGCACACGGTCAAACAATATCACTGGTATTAATAGTAGCAGCAGTAACATGAATAGTAGTTGCAGACATGGTAGCAGTATAATTACTGCAATTAAGTTTGTTCAATCAGGTAGTATCAGTGTTATTATTCCATCTTTCAAGCGCTGCATCATTAACCTGGTCTGCCTACAGCTACAGCGACATCTAGTGGTGTAACAGCGCGCACTGCACAGGGGTCAGGTGAAACCGGGTGAAACCCCTGAACACTGTCCGAGCAGAGCAGCTAGACAGATAGACATCTATGCGGCATCTTAACCTTACTGCGAGACCTGCACAGAGTCACGGAGGCTGCTTCGCTTTGATCGAATTATGCTCTAATGGCGTTTTCAGCCACATGCCAGAAAGAGAGACTCCGGTGCACTTTTTCTAATTGGGATATCTGTCTTACTTACACAAGCGGGACTGTCAGGCAGAGAGTCCGAAGGTGGTCTGGAGGATAACCTCGGAGAAAAATTTACATCTAATTGCTACAATGTTTAGCGAGCACCAGCACGATGCGCGGGTATGTACGGTCCATTAACATGGGTCCGATGGGTCCCTGGACGCGCCAAGTGAATGAAAATGACGCCCTTGTTCGAGGGGTCAGCTTTAAAAATAAATAGAAAAATCTGCGCTCCAGTCCCTGCATTCATATGAGACACTTCACCTTTGACAGGCATGAATATGCAACAGTTGTTTTAAGACAGTCGCTACGCTTTGAGGCACCGTATCAGAGAGAGAATATAAAAGAGGGAAAGCTGACAAAAAGGTGCATCGAAGAACTCCGGCCTAACGTCTCAATAAAGACACCGTTAGGTCAATTAAAGCGAGAGCACGCGCCAATAAAGAGTATTCATTTGGGGTAATTCTATAATCCCCGTCCAGTTGATTACATGAAATTAAGGCTGCAAAAAAAAACCTGAGGCTCGTGCCACGGCAGTAAAAACACAGAGCGTGTAAGCCCGAGCTTTTTACTCCATGTAAACGCATCAAATCCTAGAGTCTTATCACTCTCATGCAGCCTTTATAAACTCAGCTATATTAAAGCTTACAGGAGGGAGCATCTTATCTTCCTTAAAGCCGAGAGCCATAAAAACGCTTCAACAGCGCTGTCTATTTCTGTAAGTTCTTCTTGAAGCAAGCGGTTCATAAAAAAATTCAAGCAAGCAGACGCGCAAAGCAAGACGCCAAGTCGGCAGCAGAGCATCGGTCCTCGCCCGTCCGTCTGTCGGGTTTCAGGTGAAGACGTCACTGGATGGACAGCCGGCCATCCTGCTGCCGCCACTCGTCGGGGTGATCGCTTCCTTGCCGTCTTCTATCGTTTCCATATAGGCAACTGTGATCGACAGCGGGGGGGGGGGGGGGAGGCTGCTAACCTCAGCAGTTGCCCCTCATCAGCAGGGCCTCAGACATACGCTGGGTTTGGGTCAATGAGCTGAGCACCTAAGGCAGCAGAAAGAGACCAATGTCAGTTCATGTCAACAGGCCATGTGGAGTGCACTGCAAACGTTGAGAATATGAGAAACATTAGTTGGAAATCCTTTAAAACTAAGTTTTGTATATATGATGGTGACTACAGCGGGTTTTTTTTATAGCGGGGGAAAAGTAGTATCAACTCTAGATAAAATTGATGACATAAATTCTTGGGTGTAGGATTTTTAAATGTCTTTTTTTGCAGACCCTCACCGACTGTCAAAAAAAGAGCCAGATGGCAATTAATTCCACTATGCTCCAAGCAGCACCCTCAGGTGCTGAGAAATGAAGGCTACACGGAAGAGCCAAAAACTGTTGTCCACTTGAGGCTGGCTCCAAAAGCGAGTCCATCCCCATAGACCTCCATGACAAAATGCCCAACATTACAGCAGAAATAAACAGCGTGGTACAAAAAACGCTTTTAGTCTTTATAGATAATATCATGTACAACTGTACATTTTATAGAACTGACCCATTTAAATGATATTAAGGCTCAATATTAGGCATAATAAAGGGCGTGGCCATTTTGAGTGACAGGTGGGTGCTGTTTTAGGTCGCTAGCTGCTAGCCGTCGGCACTGCTGCGTCACCCGGCCCGCCTAAGGTCCACCACCACCTACTTTGAGCTTCAGAAAGCTATGGGGGACGTCCCAGAGACTGCGTCCATATTTTAGTCTATGCTGTGCCCCCATCTCTCCAGAGACCTTCAAGGACCAATTTATCTATGACATAAACTTAAAGCTGTATGAATTGTTTTTGGCCACTAGGGGGCAACTGTAAACACGACACTGATATATTATCACCTACGAAAGATCTCATGGCTAGCATGTGAGCAAAGAGCTGCTTATTTACACAGCCGGCAGACACAGATCAATATGATTTACATTATTTTTGTCCACCTGTTGAATGTAAGTCAAACACTCTTCTTAGCTCTGTTTTAATCCACCAACTCATAAGAAAAATAGCTGTCCCTTTACCAGCAAATGCTCAGTATTAGTGGCGACTGTGGACAGCAGGGTTGTCCTTCAATCAGAGGATTGGCGGTTCGATCCCCGGCTCCGCTAGTCGCATATCAATGTGTCTTTGAGCAAGACAGTTAACCCCAAAATGAGCTCCCGTAAGTGTGCCTACGGTGTGTGAATGAGATAGTCTAAGATAGTAATGAGGTAGTGTTAAAAGGCATTAAGTGGTCGGAAAGACTAGAAAAGTGCTGTACAAGTACAGACCATTTACCATTTACTACTGTCTAAAAAGCGCCAATGAGCGTAAAGAGAACAGGACGTCCTACATTGTGCTGGATGACCAGCCGGTCCTACTAGTGATTCAGATAGTGACATCAGAAATATGAAAAGATGCACTATATACTAATAAGGAAGCCATTTGATAAATATATACTCCTTTGAAAAGGCTAAATCATCTCCGTCATGGTTTTTATTTTTTGGTAAATATGTCAGTAGCAATCTATAATAAAAAACATATGCTTGTTCTATGTAAACAATAAAAACTATAAATAAACAATACATTTCAGTTAAAATAATCATTTTCTTTGCCATTTTTAACTTATACACTACAGATGTTAGTTAGGTGCAAAATCTGTCAAGACTGACGAGCTGAGCAAATCGGCAAGACGAGCGAGCAGTCGTCCTTTCAAACATAACAGTGGTGGCGTGGGTGTGTGCACGTGCATGCTTCATAACTAGTAACGTGCACTGGGGCCTGTCCTATGTACCTCACACCACTGGGATGATTGCTAAATAGCAGCATCAGTTAAAATTCAATCACCTACTAATCAATCAGTCCAGCTGTAGATCTGTGATTAGCCATTACACATCATCCCCAAACCCCTGACATCCCCATGACCGGTAACCTCTATTTAACACTCCATTGAACGCCTTAATAATCAAGTTTAGAAAATGTTAAGTATGAACCAGCTCATGTGCTCTGGGGTCAGCCTTTACAGAGATGGACTGTGAGGTTTATTAAATATTACCCATGAATAATTCAGAGAGGCAGCATTCAGAGCAGGAAACTGATTTGAATCTTCTGCTGCTCTGGCATTGACCCCAGACAGCAAAGCTTTTCCCAAGGACTGAACATGGTAATACCTGAAAACTTACCTCTCAGCACAGTAGCGCAAAATAGAGTGTGACAGGACATCAAGAGTGTGATTTTGAGTTAATATCATTGCTGGGAGGGGTGGGGGTGGGGGGGCTTTAATAGTCATCGCAGGACTGCTGTTTTTATGAAATAGTGTGGAAAAAAGGGATTCTGACCAGGGCTGACCCGGGGTGGATGCCCACGGTGGTGTCCAGCTGTCGCTTGGTAAGACCACATTTCATCGCTGCAACGAAGCCTTGGAGGATATCTCCAGCAATGGGGCCCATGACATGGACGCCGACCGCGCGGTCCTGTTGAGACACAGCAGTGTTACAGTGGATTCACCAAAGGTTTGAGCAGTGGTGGGCCGTCAGGGCCAGCAAGGCCTTCTCTGCTGGCCTAAACAGAATCACAAAGTTATAGCTATTTTATAATTTTTCTTAAATACACTACATGTATTATAATTTATAAAAATATTTTTCCTATTATCTTATTTTCTCATTGCACAGCTACTGTCTTCCTCAGTTGCTCTGCTTCCAGTGCAGCTTGTTTTAAGTAGAGCCTTTATCCAATCAGATCTCACCTCTGTGTCTCTAGGTAAGAAGAGAGGCCCGAGGCCTTCAGACTCACAAGTGCATCCATGTGCAGTTTAAGTGAATGGGGACGATATTGTTGATTGTCATAGTCTTCAACCAATCAGATCTTTAGTTTGACATGTTGGGCGTATTCATTGACGTGCCAGAGCCTGCTAGCTGGCCTACACGTCAGCATTAACACGCAGCTCAGTTTTAAGGTGCAGCTCTGCAGTAAGGTGCAGCGTGCGCTGTGATTGGTCAGTGGGCGAGCACGTGACTATTGTGAAACAAAACTTAGTTGGAGTAGTAAGAGTTCAAATTGAAAGATATGGAAGAAATTATGAAATTGTTTGCATTTTGCTTGATGTAGATTCTTTTTTTTTTTTACCTAGCTTTGTTTTTTTAACACTCAATGGCTGAAGGAGGAGAAATGGATTTGTGAGTTGGGATTTAACCATGGGATTAAACTCTTTGTCAACAAAGAAAGGAGGATGGAGTTTGTCTTTAAGTGAACAGCATTCGGTAAGTCAACTGCGTTTGTTTTTTTACATCTAATATCTGAATGGCCCTCGAGTGTGTAGCAGAATGCGTGTTCCGCTGCAGTGTTGCTGGATTGATTTTTCATGCTTTGTTGTCATATGAATATATGTGACTGGTTCTTGTGAGTTTGTTGTTGTCATTGTGCTAATTATATTGATTTGGACTATATGCATTGTCCGTTAATTACGAAGCATACCGTCATGCGCGGAGTTATAGTCCGGACAATTGAATCTGTTCGGGCTGTTGTTTTCTTTTACAAAGCAAGAATGATGGTCTGGAGAATTGTGGATTGTGAGGCGATTGCTTTAGCCTGTCTGAATCAGTAGGGAACAGCTAAACTCTGCGGGGAGAGTTCGCAGCTTGTTTGCTGCTGTTGTTTTCCCGTTAAGCTAGTTTAGCGTAGCCTCCCAGAACACACGTGCGGTGACTCAGCTGTGTTTTTTTGGGGGTTTTTTGTTCCGGGTTCAGAGGTCACACAGCCCGTTGTCTCCTACGTGAGCGCAGTCCACCGAAAACATTATATTTCCCACAATTTAAGCTTCTGCATTTTCCAAATGCACTAGTATCATTCAAACGTATTGTTCGGTTCGTAAGCCTCGTACTGAACAGTGTAATTCGAATATGTGTATTGTTACACCCCTAGAAACAAATAATAACCCGTAGCTGTGGTGTCATAATGAGGTTATTAGGAGGTGGTTCAACTGTAGTCGGACAGCACTGAAGACCCAGGTATAAAATGCACAGCCCGCCACTGGGTTTGAGTCAGAAGACTCGAGTCTGGGTAGTCTCTGGTTGGTCAAGTTTCTGTCCGCTTGGAGTTTTAGGGTGTGAATCAGACTTGCATCGTATTCAAACTGAGTTCCACTTCCATAATTTGTGGGTCAATAAGGTAATATCTAAACTGGGTCCCAAATCCCCAATTTATAAGTGTGAGTCCAAGTCGAGTGCCAGTTCCTCTGTTCTCAAATGTGAGCCCAAATGTGAGTGACCAAGGTCCTGTCTGAGTCTTACTGTAGTTACTGACTACTGAGTCAGGCTCCATCAAGTCTTCTCAAGTCTGAGCCTTGTTCCAAATCCCTAAGATCCTGTCCGAGTCTCAGTAGAGTCCAAATTCCTCACCATGTGAGTCAAAGCCTACACTGACTACCTTTACGCCATGTGTCTAATATTCAGACTGTATCTGAAAATAGTACTCAGCACAACCCTGGCACTATGTATTTTAACCCATGTAAGCCTAGTGTTGGAGAACTATCTGAATGCAATCCAATTGCCCAAAACACATTTTAATGCCAGGTGTAAAGGTATGTCTTGTTCATGCCACGAAGTGTAAATAAAAGTTAGAAATTAAATGTCTGAATAGAGACCTAAGTCCTCAAGTCTAAACCTGGTTCAAAGTCCCGAAGGTCCAGTCCCCATGTCAGAACAGTCATGTCTTAATCGAGTCCCAGTCCTCCAGGGGGGCTTTCTAGCAGTTTGGACCAGGGTCCAAAGATGAGTTTCAAGGTATGTGTGAGTCAGAATCACTGTTGTTATGTAAGCAGAAAGTCCCACATTCTAGTCTGTTCTAGTCCAAGTCTCCAGACTTACTTCAAGACATCCCCAAACACATTTAAACCCACAAAAACAAATGAACACATTAAAAGCTAGTTTGGTGGTTCTGATGGCCGCAGTGTAATCTGCAGACAGGGAATGAAGTGAGAACGAGCAGTGAATATTGGAATTAGCACAGTTACTATCAGCTTGGCAGAGATGCATTCTAAAATGCAGTTATCTTGAGTGATGCCAAGTCAATTGTTGGAAAGAGCTAAAATTATAACAAAAGGGTGGGTGGAGTAATGTGGTGTGACCTAATGCACAATTGGAGGTATTATGACTAAATATCTCCAGAGGGAAAGGAAAAGAATCTCATTACTTTATAGCTGAGGTGCTGCGTATCACACTTAACAAAGTGTGTGGGGAGCTTCAATTAGTTTGGACTGAACTATAACTACACAGTTGCCTCATTATATGTTAAGTATGCTTAGACAGTGATACCTAATCTTTCCGACATCATCTGTCAAGTGTCGTTCTTCATTTAATTTCGTACGCACGTCTCTACAAAAATGTTAAAGCGCCTACGATGACAAGCGTTAACAATAACTAGATAGAAACAGCCGATCTTCTTGCCGATGGTCTTGTTTGATTATGTAAGTCATTATAGAGGCAGCAGTATTAAATTAAGACTGTTTCATAACCAGGTAAAAACTCCTTGTAGTAACTTTTAAAGCTGTGGGCAGTAAAACCAAAACAATGAGCTGAAAGACGCTAAAAGAGCTGAGGGAAACTGTAGAGTTGGTGAGAATTATCTGTGAGTTCATCACCACAAGAAAAATCTTTCACATTACCCATAATTATTTGATTCATTGCTAATATTTAAAAAATTATAATTGCAGCTTTAATAAATAAATAAATAAAAGTCATACATGGTCAGGGATGTGGCAGATGACTTTCACATAGCAGGAGTTTTTATTCCTGGCAGGAAGTGCCCACTCCAGTGGCCAGTAGTAGGTGTGATACACCTGCAAAAGGGCAGACATTTTTGATTTTAGATCCCGTTTGTTTGAGTATGTACGTGTGTGTGTGTGTGTGTGATTACCTCTACACTCTCTTCTCCAAATGTTAGATTGGCTTTCTCCTCAGACAGACCACAGGCAGCATATTCCAGCAGAGTCAGCACAACAGTGGGCACATTGGTGTAGTCACACTGTGAATGAAAAATGATATCAGCTCCAATCAATTCTATCTTTATTGTCTCATATGCAGCGTTTGACTCATGCACAACATACGCAACCCGTGTAAACTCTTTCCAAACTGCGTACCAAGATGCCGTCTCCTCCGTAGAGGCGACGGGCCAGCAGTGTCCCAGCATGCACCGAGAGGCCTGTTGTGGAGGGGCGTCCATGTTGCACTGATACGATGGCGTAAATATGATCCACGCTGGTCTGATCGCTCTTGTTCACCAGGATCCTGCCAGTGCTGCACACAGAAAAGTATACACACACACAACCTAAACAAAACCTGCCACGCACACACTGAGAGGTCAAAATGAACGTGGACTGATTAAACGCACCTCTGGCTGCACTGCACCCCAACACGCTCCAGACCAATGTCGCTGGTGAAGGCTTTCCTTCCCATGGTGAGCAGCACCTGCACACACAGAGACACGTAGAGACACAGTTCACCAGGGTGTCTTGCATTGTCTGTTCTTTGAAACATTTATTGGAAAACTGTTGCAGAAAAAGGATGTATTGGACATGGATAACGTACTGTATCAAAGTCTTCCTGCTTAGTTTGGCCTTCCTGGGAGATGGTGGTCACTTGAAGTCTAGAAACCTCCTGGGGTGTCGTTGCAGATTCACCTAAATTAAAATAAGAATAAACTCAAATTAGCTCCTCGTGGTTGTACGCCTCCGCAAAACCAGTCAAGTTGCAGTTTACATCCATGTCCGTCTGGATTTGTCATCACTTCACCTGTTAGACATTTGTGTCAAATTGTCATAATAAGCATATGAATTCTTATTAAGTTATGGCAAAAAAATTTGATTTGTGCGGTCAAAGTCACCCATGACCACCTAATTCTAACTAATTTGTCCTTGAGTCCAGGTGGATGTTTGTGCCAAATTTGAAGAAATTCCCTCCAGGCGCTCCTGAGATATCGCGTTAACGATTGGGGTGGACAGATGGACGAAGAACCAGAAAACATACCAACTCCATGGAGGTATAAAAGTAATACGTATATAATGCACTCAATGTAGAATATTGAATATTGTGTCAGCCTTTGACTAGCTTTAAAGCATTTGACAACATCACATAGTGTAATATTTTATAACTGGTGTTTACTGAAGCTACATTACATATTAACTGATTGAAACTTCCAAATCCAAGATACCATTGTTTTATAGCCACAACAATCACCTGAATTAGAATATTTGGATGTATGTCTAGTTTGCGTCTTTGATAGATATTTCTCCCCGTTATGCAGTCTAATATATTCAGTATCTTTGGGCTGCAACTCAAAAGAACATCTTCTGTGGGGTGATCTGGGTTTGATCTATAAATCATGTGATGGTGGACATCAAAGTGTCTGTGGGCCGTGGTACAACAAGTGCTTGCATCACTTACTCAAAGTTACTGTGAGGAATTTTAACTGGTTATGAAAGAGACTACATTTTATACTGACGTATAAGCTACTTTTTCAACTGGATATTGTGTCTCTATCATAATCCTGATAGAATAGCTTCCAACATTTGCCATACCTGAAACGACATCCTCCCTGCAAGCTTCAGTCTGCTCCACCTAACACAGACACAAGCAGCACTGCATAAAGAAGGGACATTTCCAGGTTACTAGTGTAACTGATCCCTGTCTTTATCTTACTCAGTACCTTGGTGAGTGAGCAGTGATAAAGGAAGTCCACTCCACTAATGATCATGTAGTTTTCTATCTTCTGTGCTGTTTTCTGATCAAACCCGGGGAGCAGGTCAGGCTGCAGCATGACGCACTCCAGTCCCTCTGCAGACCCGCCAACCACCAGGGTCCGACCTGGGGGGTGAAGCAGGGAGAGGAGATCCTCACTGGGAGGTGAGGAGAGAGGGATGGGACTTCAGAGGTTCTGTGACGCAGTCTGCTTATATTCATACGGGTATTTATATGTTGAATCTGATGCGAGTGCTGGTTGACCTGGTTAGGCAGTGCTCTCTGTCCCCGGGTACGCCCAGATACTGAGGCCTGTCTCCTGTTGCGATGACCATGGTCTCTGCTGTCAGACGCCTCTTCTTCCCGTTCACGTCTGTCGCCTGATTCAACAAAAACGAGAGAAAAAAAAAACCACAGCTTACAGGGCAGCTGTAAGCGACTTTTGTGATCGGATGCTTCAGATTGGAACTCAGCCGTTTCCACATGTGTGTCCACACTTGACACGTTAATGCGACCTGCCTGATCGGATAGTGATCGGAAGTATCTCGTGGTCAAAGGCTGTAAAACTGTGGATAAACACATTTCATTTCCTATAAATTCTTCACAATAAAAGTGTTTGCTGCTTGGTCTTCCTCTCTGTTTTTATTGAGGAATAGCTACCACCAAACTTTGATTACATTTCATTTGCTATAAAATTCTTCACAATAAATGTGCTCCATTATTTTGTTATTTAAGAGCTTTTGTTTTGAAGCAGCAAGACGAGGTGTGGGGGGGGGGGGAAGAGCACAATAACAAACCAACCTCAAGTCTTGCACAATTAGGTGACTAGAACCTTCCCTCTAGAAACACAAAGTCAATCAAGATTCAGGTCGTTAAGAATTTTTTAAAATTTTTGTTTGGTGAGGAAATTATGAAAATCGTTGCCTCTCACAATCAATAATTTCAGGTTAGACTCTGGTTGTCCCCCGTTAAAGCTACAGTTGGTAACGATAATAAAAATAAAATTTTGTCATATTTTCCAAGCTGCATTAGAGACTCCTCAGCTGTGATTGGTTGTTTTTCTTTTGGGCTCGGTGGAATCTTCCAAATGCCTTGAGGAGCTCTAAGAGGAGGCAGAGCAACCAGATTTTTTTACCCAGATTATCTGTCTCATGTACTACGGGCAGGATATAGTCACAGTTTGAGTAAATATGACAAAAAGTTCTCTTTCTTTAAGTTACCAGCTGTAGCTTTAACTCTCCCAGTCTCTATTATTTTGTTCAAATTCAAATTGATTGTCTCTGAACAATTTAGCATAGGAGGGCAAGGGATGAAGTCAACCTGCTGGGTTATAAATCATCATCCAGCTGGGGGTCCTTGTTGCACACCGCACCTGTTCATTTTCTGCTCCATGCTATCTAGTTTAGGAAGAATATTAAATGGCCACCGCTCATTTCTGGCAGTAATTCCATCACAGACGTTTTGAACCAATCAAGAATGCTCAAGTGTTTACCTCTACTGTGTGGGGCCCCACTAACTCTCCACGAGCACCGAGGTAAAAGACTCCGCAGCTCTTCAGCTCCCTCTTCACCTCCATACTGCGAGTCTTCACCTGCTCCTGCACAGCCTCCACCAGCTCGCTCCAGCCATGAGACGCTGACATGAGACACTCGTTACAGAGGATTAATATGTATGGATTGGATTGGATTTTGTCACATATATTATTATCACACTGCTAAATGTTGACCTCATTTAAAGCTCTGAATTATCAATAGTTTATCAACAGTCATACAATTCATGTCAATGGTATTTTCCTTTGTTACCTTCCTCTTTCAACCTCCAGCCGTATTTCTGAGAGTCTTGAATGGCTTTTCCCAGCAGAGATGCCTGTTGTAGAAACCTCCTGATGCTGTCCATGTTAAGACTGGAACCCCCCAGCTCTGGAGGAGAGGAGAGGGGAGGAGAGGAGAGGATTTAAGAGAGGAATTAAAAGAAGAGAGGAATCAAGAGAGGAGAAGATTCAAGAGAGGAGAGGAGAGGAGAAGGAACAGAAAATAAAGGAAAAAGGAGGAGAACAAAATGAAAAGGGAGAGAGTAAGAAAATGTTTCACTAGAAAAACAAGCATTTCAAGCAACAATACAACTCAGCCGAAACGTGTGTTTGAAAAATATATTCAATACTGGAGAAGAGAAATGATTCATAATCACCGTGCCTCTTCAGACTCTCAGAATTAAACACTCACCCCTCTTGGTGCCTCTGGGAGAGGGAGCCACGAGGTCAAGAATCAGCACCTTTCTCCTCAACCTAGCAGAGGGAGGGAGGAGATACACGTAATCATTGTGAGCGACAGAGGAGAAAGAGGTAAATTAAATATTGAAACGGGTTAAGCGTTTTGTTCTTGACAACAATCCCAGCTCCTGGCCCGTCAACTCATTTCCACTTCCCTCTAGAGCCGCTCACGGATCATCTTCATTACCATGAAGCCATTAATATGGTAATCGTGAGAGCTGTGCTTTGGCAGAGTGCGCGTTCATTGACCGGATTAGCTGCAATTATGAGGTGGAGTTGGCGGGGCGTCCTCTAACCACTGAGGGAAGCTGAATGCATACGGAGGAAATCATACAGTGAAGTTGTGGGCCAGACAGCGAAACGACGAGCTGAAGGATTCAGCACAACAAGAGACCCCTTTCACATTGTCATCAAGCTGACGATTTATTATTACAGCAGCTTCAAAAAATGGAGCGGTAGTTCATTTTAACACGAGCAAACACAATCTTTAAAACACATTCATGTATGATTGCTGTCGTTTTGTGACATGCATGTGATGTCATGTCTGTCAGTGTTGCTTTGCGCCTGATCAACATCTAATTGATCGAAATCTTGCAAGCAAAGGTGATAAAAATAAAAAAAACTCATTGTGGGAGCAAAGAACAGTATACAGATTCTACTTTTGCTATGCCTCAAATACTGTCTGTATACATGTAGTGTACAAAAGAATGTACAAGACTACATGGATTCATACTCTCTTTAAACTTAATTGAAGTAGAAAGCAAAAAAAAAAAAGCTTGAATGGCAGGAAACAAAACCATGTGACTGACAGCACACAGGAGGAAGGAACCTTTGCCACAGCCAGGCCTCCCGACACCCCTCCTATAACCAGCAGGTCGTAGTCATAAGGCCCCAGGGACGGGCCAGTTGGCGGGTCCATTTTGTACAGCAACAACTCGGAACACTGAGAGCCTATAGGTCTGTGGCCAGTCCTAGAGAGGGACACAAAAATAAAGCCACAAACACTCTCAGTGAGGAGGGACTTTGCCCCCTGAGCTCTTTACGACTGCGGGCTAGATGTGGATTGCACAAGACGACGTTCACTGACCGTGTTTTTGAAAGTCCACACGAAAATTTTTTAGTGAGACACTTGAAAAAAAGTATGCCAAAATGTTACAGTATCTTTTTTTTGCAAATTGCAAAGAATTTGTATTTGTTGTGTTTCCTGCCAGGATGGGAAAGACAATAATCAACAGAATGTAGACTTTGAGACACAGTAAAAAAAAAGAAATTATAAAAAAACATAATCACCATGTTATGGCTTAGAGTTAAACTACTGACATGTATAAACTTATAATATTGATCACATAACATAAACAGGCATATTGAAAATGAGCAAATATCCACTTGGTCGATATGTGGCACTGAATTGCTAACACTCAACTTTTTCATACGTTTTTTTAATATACTGTGTATCAAAGTCTGACAGAAACACATATTTGACAATATGTCAAATGAGCAGCAAAGACAGAGTGAAATGTGAATGTAGTAAACTACCATTAAAACAGCATTATGACTAGAGAGTAGCCGTATTATTTGCTGTCACCGGGCGCAACCTTGTGGTGAAAACCTTCAACATCAACTTGGTTCGAGTGCATTACTGACACAGCTGCCTTTGTGGGGGTTTTGGTAAACCTGAAACCTAAAACATACATGTGACACTTTTTTTTCGGCAGGATGAGCTTAATAAGCTCCTAAATAGGCTTTCAGAAGATATTTTGTCCTTCGATGCAGCACTTCAGAAGTTGTTTTTCATTTACGGAAACAACTTGGGAAGTTTAGGCAGTTTTCTTGAAATAAAAGCAGATGGACGATGAAGCTTTTGCGGGAAACTTCTAGGGTGGAAGAGTTGCATTTCAGTGCAGCCATAAATGTAGGGATTATAACTAACAATAGAGCGTGACTACGACTAAAAACCTTGCTCTGGTAGTGAAAAATCTGCACTTTCTGAAACTACACATTCTGTGGTCTCAAAGTGCAGTGACTCTTTACTTGGCCTTGATTAGCCTCGATTGTTAAACTAAACATTTGAAAAACTTAAAACTGTTAATAATTTTGACAGTCACCACTACAATTGTTTCCACTGCTGAATTTACTTTAAACCTGTGAGGTAGGAGCTTGCAAGGAGTCCCTGAATGCAGCACGGCTCTCTACCGGCGAGCAGCGGTAGTGCAGCCGCGGTTACGCGCTGGGACTGGTCCTTTCGCAGCCATTTTCTGTCCAACCAAACAGCCGTCTCAGGAAGGTAACCAACCAGGGCTTCATTGCAGGTTTGTGGCTGGCTCCGGCCAATGATTGCTAACCGATTTCTCGTTAGCTCGAATGGAAATGTCCGTCTCTGTCTGATTTTTTATTTGTTGTCTGAGTGAATGAGGGCTGCTCATCAGGAAGTATCCAGCGGGCAAAACTTAATAAACGACTCTTTGACATTTGGGCCCGGCCACGTCTCTCTCGGGTCTGTACGACAAAGAACAGGCCGACGCCGTCTGTACAGGCGCGAGTTGCAGTGGACTTACAATGAGAATGTATTCAAGGAGCACTATGTACCTGAATAGGTTAACGACAGAAGGTAGATAGTCTTTCTTCATTATGCTAAACTCAATAGCGTTAGTTGTATTAGGGCCAGGAAACTAGCAAGTTCAATTCGTGGGTTGGTATTAGCAAACGTTAGCTAAATATGTCAACCCGCGGCAGATACGGGCTAGTTAGCACACGAAAGCTAAATACAGACCTAGATGTTTAACGTTAGCGTGTTGCTTACGTAAACTGACCTCACCGCGGGTATACAGCTGTCTGCACGGTTGTCCCGTTTAAGCTATGCTAACGACATTAACACGGCTAACGCTAGCTCACAGCCCCGTACCAATGTATTTTCATAATGTATTCCCACGAGCCAGCAAACACATTTCATCATATAAAACTGCGCGTAACGTGAAGGGGGAGGGGCAGCCCTTTAGCGGTGCTCGTTGTCAACATCTGAAAATATCTGTCCTCAAAAGAAGAGGCCACACATCTTCCGTTAGTCGCTGCCTTTAAAATGGAAACGTATAACGCGTATGACCTGAATGTAACATCTGGCGTTACACCAGACCAAGTCGGTGAGCTCATGAATATGCGATCAGCTGCGATTGTTCACACAGAGACAAAGCAACACACGCATTTGGTGATTTCTCTAACTCAACTCAACTTTAAATAGAGTAATTTAGAGCCGAAAGATTCAGCCGTTCAGTGAACCTGTGCTTTGATATTTATTTGTCCTGAATAATCATCAAAACATCCAGAAGTCCTTCCGGTATTCATTCATGGCTTTCACTATGTGTTCAATATGTAAGAACTCCATGCTGTCTATTTCATATATCACATTGGTCATTGTTTGAATAACTGATTAACCGATAAATTCAGTGCAAGTCTCTGTAGTAACTGGGGAACTAGAAATCAATGCAGCATGAAAGGTCAAGATATAATAAAGTCATTGTGTGCATCTGTTTTAAGTGGCAGAAACGCCAGCTTTGTTTATCAGCTACAGAATGGGATATCAGTGCAGATACCCATTTTACTATATATATGACAAAGAGAATCTTCACATTTGAGATGCTGAAAACTGCTGTACTATTTAGTGCTACTTGTTGGATTGGAGGCTTTTCCAACAGGCCTTAAGGAAATACAGCTACAACCAGGTCCTTTATGACCCCTAAGCTGCGATGCCCACATATTGTATAATTCCCACCAGTGTGTCAGTTAAAGTCTTTAGGTTGGGTTCTTCATTACCACAACAGCTTGACCATTGCTCAAAGCAGAGATGAGGGAATTGAATTCATGTGCATGGGCGACAACATATATCACTGGACCATATCAATCCAGCCCATGAGAGGGAGAACAGAAGCATCTATTCATTTATTCCAGGCAAAAACTTCACTTATAAGAAAAGGGTACTGCCTAAACAGCAAGACGCAACACTGGATTGAACTCGGGTATTAAAACAACCGAGGAATTGAGGGATTTTGCAAAAATGTTTTCTAGTGTTTTATCTGCGTGGAAGTAATTGTCCTCCAAAAAAGTGATGTTACTTTCAGTACTTAATTTAGTCCTCCCTGCTTTTAAATGATCTGTGTCAGCCTGTCAGGCTTTTGTGTTCAATTCATAGCGTAGCTACAAAGAACTTAATCTTACAGTTCTGAGTTTAATAACACAAAATGGAATTGTTTTCCAATGGAGATTATCTGCTCCTTCATGACTTTGCGCAGGAAGCTTCGTAAGCTGAACTTTCAGTTTGATGCCATGCAGTGAATTATATTGATATAGCTCCAGAAGTTGAAACGAGATCTTTGTGTTTGTGTTGCAGATGGACGGAGACAGCTCGACCACCGACGCCTCCCAGCTGGGCATCAGCGGAGAGTACATGGCCTCTGGTCACTACGTCCTCCAGTCCCAAGACGGTGAGGAGCAGGCCGAAAGTGTGGCTCGTCAGAGAGTGGCTGCCGCTGTTGTGTTTCTAGCTCGGGGTTTAAAACTGCCGATTCTGATCCGTGTGTTTTGTTTGTTCGCCCCAGATGATGGAGAGGAGAATCTGAATGACCATGACGACGGCGGCATCAAGGAGAACTTCAGGGAGCAGGACATCTACCTCCCCATTGCCAACGTGGCTCGCATCATGAAGAACGCTGTTCCTCAGACCGGAAAGGTTGGGCTGAAAATATCATTATCTCAAATGAGCAGCAAAGGCAGTGTAAAAAAAAAAAAATTTAATTTACAAATAGTAACTGCCGTCAAACGAGAATTGTGAGAGAAATTGGCCTCATCATTTGTAGGGTCGCCCCCGAATATCAAGTTGATTATGGGTAGAAAGGACTGAGGCGAACTGCTAACGTTAGCACCTCTCTGAACAGTTTTCTACACATAGCTCGCCTCATTGAACTCAATATGCACTTAATCGTCCTGATTCCTCTTTCTGTGGGTATTTGGTCCATCAGTGCAGCACTTTAGATGCCTAAAGTGTTTATGTTTCCACAGAAACTAAGACCCACCGCCCACCCACATCAGGTCTCTAAGATAAAACCCGACGATAGGGCGATTTAAAAAACCTATTCTATCTCCCACTTTGGTGCACATTTACTTTCAAAGGTTGTTTGTTTTGGCAAATGGAAGCACTTTGTACAGACAGCAGACACTGCAGGGGGAACTCAACATATGACAAACAGATGTTTTATTTACAAAGGCCTGCTGCTTTTTATCCTGAGTAAAGAAAGTTTGAAGAAAATATTCTTCTGTCAGCTCTTCGGAAGGATGTCTTTTCCTCTTTAAGAAATTGGCCTTTAAGAATCTGTCCCCGTTTTCCACAGATCGCGAAAGACGCCAAGGAGTGCGTGCAGGAGTGCGTGAGCGAGTTCATCAGCTTCATCACGTCGGAGGCAAGTGAGCGCTGCCACCAGGAGAAGAGGAAGACCATCAACGGGGAGGACATCCTGTTCGCCATGTCCACGCTGGGCTTCGACATGTATGTGGAGCCACTGAAGCTCTACCTGCAAAAGTTCAGAGAGGTGAGACGCAAAAAAAACCAAACGAGGCCCGAGTGATCACGTAAACATGCGCTGCAATGGTAAAACCAGTGACCTTGTCTTGAGCGTTTCGGCGTCATATCCGACCGTTGTGGTGTTCAGAGGGAGCTGGAAGGCAAAACTTTGTATTTACCAGTTTACGTTGCGACCCTCGCCCATGGTCATGTGCTTCGGGTAGTGACCGAAAGAACAGGATCGCCGATACAAGCGGCAGAAATGAGCTTCCTCAGTAGAACGGTTCGGCTCATTCTTAATGATAGGGGAGAGGACCTCAGACATCTGAGGGTGTTCAGGCACCTGATCAGGATCCTCCTCGACGCCTCCTTTTAGAGGTTTTCCGGGCACATCCAACTGGTAAGAGGCCCTTGGGGGACCTGGAGCAGGCTGGAGGGACTATATATCTGGTCTGGCCTGGGAATGCCTCAGGGTCCCCCAGGTAGAGGGACGTCTGGGACACTCTTCTTTAGCCGGCTGCAGGGCCAAGAATAAGCAGAAGATAATGGATGGATGGATGGATGGATGGAGTCCCCTTTCTTAAAATGTACTAAGAATTGGATGAAGCAGTTTTATTCTTTACTTATTGAACCTTAAACTCTGATCTTCTGTCCCGTTTGTGTTCCGGTTTACAGCTCAGGTTCTCTACTCTATAATGAGATTATTCATCAGAGTAGGATTAGATGTAGTGTTGATTCCACTCTAACAATCACTCAAAAGGCAACCTGGTGTAGATTTTAAACCAAATCTAAAAAGCTGTATGATTACATAATGAGTTTGAAGGTTTTTACCAAATAAATAATAAGTAAATAATTAATAATAATAATGTAAACCAGCAAAATTTTTCTGTCCATCTACTAACATTATTTTTTCTGCCCATTGTGATTAAAAGCCACCTTCTTATAGTGATGTGTTTTATCATTGGCATTTCATTTTCAAGGTTTCTATATGTGACCGCAACCGCCCGAAAATGGAATCAGCTAATTTTGTAGTCGACACCACGTTCTTGTTTAGTTCCAGATGTCGCTGTGCTCACATCTGTAATGTCTCCTGCTTCTCTGGTGTTTGTTCCAGGCCATGAAGGGGGAGAAGGGGATTCCCGGAGTGTCGGTGGGAGACGGCCTGGGAGACGATCTCACAGACGATAGCTTCAGTAAGCAGAAATATTCAAGTTTATTTCAGACTTTGTCCTCATGTTTGGCTTTATTTAACCCCCTGATATGTTAGTATCAGGGGGTTGTTATATACTAGGCATTAAGTAAGTAAGAGCTGACTTCAAAATAAAAGATCTCTCATTCATTCAATAAGTCAGTCAGTCTGTCAATGATGAATTAACAAAAATGTAATATAAAAAATAATGACCATTTAAAAAAACAATAGTGTGCAAACAGTCTTTCAGATGAAAATTGAATTTAAATTGTATGAATAATTACTATATATATGT